GACCCGGCCGTCGTGGGGAGCAGTCCCCGTACTCCAGTACACCTTCGCCTGCAGGGTTTCCTAGTCTATGGTTGGGACCTCGCCCCCACAGGGGTCGTGGGGATGCGGTTCCAGGAGGCACAGCTCTTGTCTCTCTCCTGTGGTCCCCTCTGGACTTGCTGCCTCGGCTGGGAGCGGTGCGTGGTGACCACTCCTGGCCAGAGAGGTTTCCTTGGGCAGTGGCTTAGTGACACGGAGGCGCGACCCAGGGTTAGTTCTGGGTTCCAGCGCCTAGTTACAGCCTGGCTGGTTGGGGTTAGAAATTCCCCTGGGACACCAGCCTGGAAAGATCAACCCAAGGCCACTAGAACTAGGCACTGAGGTGGGAACAGCGAGGGAAAGTCAGGTAACTGGTAATGCAGCGGGAGACCCCCCTACTCCAGCTTCTTGCCAGCACTTGCTGGAGAAAAAAGATCTTGAGCCTTTAATTTGATTTGCAGAGTGACCTTGCCTTTGTCTCTCCAAGTGTGTGGTTTATGGGTGGGTGGCATTGTGAGGATCTGGTCTGTGGTGCGGAGCCTGCAGCAGGGCCTCCTGGAGGCAGCTGTAGCTGCTTTCCTAGAAATAGTGTAGAGGGGTCTATTGGCCTGGGTGCCGTGGCCACAAGCAGTCTGGACTGGAATGGGGTTTCCCTCAGCCTCTCTTAGCTCCTTGACTGCACCAGGCTGCGCAGGACAGGATCGGCTCCTTTGTGCCCAGGGAGGGACATAAGAATTAAAATGCACTGGGCACGGGCACAGCTCATACACAGCCCATGCCTTCCTCAAGCTCATGTGCCACCTTTAATCAGCACGTCAACCCTCTGCTCGCCTAGTTCTGTGAAGGAAGAAATAGCTGAGAGCTCAGATGTCTTGCCTGGACTTTGGTGGTGATGGCCCTAGGGACGAACCCAAGCTCTGCACTGAACTAACATCCCCAGCCCAGCCCTGAGACCTTTTTAATTTTTAGACAGGGCCTTGCTAAATCACTAAATTGCCTGGACTGGGCTCGAATTTGCATTGCCCCTGCACCTGGCTTTGCCTGGGAGTTGTGTGCTCTGTGAGTCAGGTCAGATATCTGAATCTTTCTGGGCCATTTCCTCATCTGTCCAGTGGGGGAAACGGTTACCTTCAGAATAGTTATGAGGATGAGGTGTTATGTGATCCCTTCCCCTAAGAACCTTTACAATAATTCTGAGGCGAAAAGAAACCAGAGAAAAAGCTGCCTCCACCCTCACTGCCACTGTCAGCTGCTGCTGACCCCAGATCCTGCTCCATGAGATAAGAGCTTATTCTATTTTACAGAGGAAGAATGGAGGCTGCAAGTTTAAACATTTGGGCTTTGGTCACAGAGCTGGGGACTCAAAATCCCTCTGCTGGGGTATTGAGCCTTATATGTGGCCTCCACACCTTGCTGGCTTGGGGAATCAACCCTGTTCTCTTACAGTAAGGTCTTTGCACTCCGCAATTCTGACCTCTGAGCCATGTGAAACCCGTTGAAAAGGCCTGGCCTAATCATGGCCCAGCCCTGAGGAGTAAGAGCCAGCCAGCAAAACTCCATTGTTTCCTCCCGTAACTACTGTTCCTGTCACAGGGCCAGCAAACAGCAGCTGTTACACTTGAGTGGCAGTGAGCCAGCCCGGTGTGTCAGCCTTGGTGCTGCTCCTCACAAGCAGCTGGGGCTAGTGCCTGCTCTGACCACAGAGGGAGTCGGCCTGGTGGCTCATCCTGTGCCAGGGTGAGGTTGGAAGTTCACACATAAGGTGAGCTTCACACGTTGCTCTATTAGGGAGCCTGTTCCTGCTGCCTGGCCTTGAAAACTAGGCCCAGCTGGACCCACCGAGTGCTTAACCGCTGTCAGGGACTACAGCTGTCCGCAAAGGCAGTGACAGCTGGTGCCCCAGCTCCGCAGCAGAAGCAGCTCCAGGTTGGAGGCTGGGAGAAGGGCATCTGCCCTGGGTCTCATCTTAGGCTCCCGGAGCCATCTTGGACCTACAGTTTGTGCTTCCGTGTTCCCCATGGACCCCTAGCCTGCAAGGCAAGGTGTCCTACCTGTCGCACACCTGGAGGAGGAAATCACTGACCAGGCTCTCATGCTGGCTGCAGAGGCTCCTCTGCAGGGCGCTCTTGAGCCAGTCCTCGATGCTGCACACCTGCACGCGGCTGGAGTGCCAGCAGATGGACAGGCTGCGCAGGGCTGGGCCCAGCCGGAAGTTGTCCTTCTTGAGCTCGGTGAGGGAGCGGAAGTGCAGTAGGGGCCAGAGCGCAGGGTCTTCAAACACATCATGGAGCTGGGAGCAGGTCCTGGAGAGGCTCTTCCTGCTGTCCTTGTCTAGAAAGGAAAAGAGGTGCAGCAGGCACTCGTAGTTGAGCTGAGTGATGTGCATGGTGAGTGGCGGCCACCCTGAGTGCGCCCGTGCAGGGCTGACCTCCTCTCCTCCCCCACTCAGGGCCGGTGGACATATATGGTTGAGGAATGGTGTTTATTTTTGGCCAGCAACTGGTGCTGAAGGAGGGGGAACAAAAAGCCAGGCTCTGGACATACGTGCAGCAGTCTGTGGTCCAGCTTATGTGCAGAGGGATTGAAAACCTGGCAGAAAAGCAGCCCATTGAAGTGACAGGGTTTCCTTAAAAGGGCTTGCTTTCCCTCGCAGCGGAGTGTTCAGCAGCATTCCTGGCTTTCCCAGGGACAGCTCGGCTGTCTGGGCCTTGGTGTGTTGGCTATGACTGTGGTGCATCGCAGGATCTTGCCCTGTGCCTCATGAGAAGGGGTCCTTGTGTGGAAGGTGCTGAGCCGAACGTGGCCCAGCGTTCAGAGCTCCAGTGAATCCCATCCCAGGTCCTCTGGGTTAACTTCTGCTCCTGGTAGACTGATGATGGTATCTAGGAGAGGCTGAGCAACCTTCAAACCCTGCTGCCTCCGTGGGCAAAGGGATTTCCTTGATCTCTTGAACAGCTCTACTTTTACCCGCAGTAGCTTCATAAAATATTTCACTGAAGCAGCTTACCTTTCCAAGGCTTTTGTGTGTGTGCACCTACATTATATATTATGTGTCTTTTCCCAAGGGGCAGGATAGATGAGGGAGCCTTTACAACACCGCGTCAAACAGTTAAGGCGTAGTACTTGTCCCTGCGGCTGTGTAAGGCAGCCCGTGTCCCCTCCATGAGTACCTTGCATTTCCTCCTGGAGAAGCCCAGGATCCCCACTCCGCAGGTGGCCCGGGGGTGGCCCTGTGGGTTCTCCCATCTAAAGCCCCTGAGGCCTCCAGCACGGTGGACGCACTCCTGACATGGCTTCCTCCCGGTGGCCCTGCCTCCATGCCTGCCGAGGACCTTTAGCTCTGGCAATGCGCGCATGTTCGGGGGACACTGACGCCGCCGGACAGTTGGAAAGGCCGCAGTTCTGCCTTTGCGAGTCAGGACAAGCAGTTCTCTGTAGCCGGGGGATGGGCGGGCGCAGCAGCTCCGAGGACTGGACTGGAAGGAAGATTTGTTCCCCAGGGGCTGGACCTGAGGTGGGCCGGGCCAGGGCCTGGAGCTTCCCAGCGGAGGCGGCTGAGGGAAGCCAGAGGAGCCACCCTGTCCTGGTCCTGGGAAGCCAGTCTGAGCTGGTCCCGAGACTCCCTACCCCAGCTCGCCACGGGGACAGAAGGGGGCGCTGTTTCTTCGAAAGCACATAAACCAGAGAGCCGGCAAAAGGAAACATTTCCAGAGCATTGTCAGAGTTGCTACCATTGCAGAGCTGGGCGGGCTGCTCAGCTGGGGTGGGGGGCGGCCAGGTCTGGGGAGGCGCTGAACTGTCCCATGCACACCCCCGGCCTTGCTGCTTGTCCCTTGGTCCCTCTGCTGCTGCCCCAGTGAGTGGCAGGAGAGGCCCACACAGGACACAGGCCGAGCCACCCCTGGAGCGCTGTCCCTCAGCCTTATCTCAGCCGTGCTATGGGCAGTGTCACGGGATGTGGGGACAGGCAAAGCCTCCGCCTTCTGTTTGAGGCTGGGGGACCCCTGCGGTGGAAACGGCTTCTGCATTCTGTAAACAGCAAGAGGTGGACAGAGGCAGGGTGGGCCCCGCTGTCAGAATATTTCACAGTGGCTCCTATCTGCCTGTTTTATTTTCAAACATGATCAACGGTCTTTGCTCAGAGACCAAAATCTGGCTTCTCAGGGGAAAGGGCCTCTTCTGGGAGGTTATTGGTCTCAGACACCAGGGAGGACTTCACAGGATCCCATTGCAGCTGCCGCCCCGCCCCACCCCACTTGGCCCAGCCTGAAGGTGGCCGCTAAGCCCAGAGCCTGGGTTTCCGAAAGAGCAGCCTCGGGCTAGCTAGGCAGGCCCAGAGCTGGGCCTGGAGCAGCCCCTGTGTAGTTGGCTCCCTGGAAGGAGTTCACCAATACGCAAAAGGAAAGAGAACAGACCTTTAATGATTCTTTCCATGGAGGTCGGGCTGGTGTAGCAGAAAGGGCTACGATGACAAGCTGGACGCACCCAGCACTTGCATGGTCAGGTGTCACACAAGCCAGCCAGGTCTCAGGGAGGCGGCCTGAGCTGTCCCATGCAGAATGAGGGGAGGTTCCCTGCCAGAGATGAGGGAAGGACCCCTGTGGCCACACCCCGGCTGCCGTGAGCCCTGGAGGCAGAGGTGGGAATGGGGTGCGTCCATCTAAAGAGGCTCTGTACCGGACCAAGGGAAGAGGGGTTTGGCTCCAAGACATAAATACGTCCCTGCCTCAGGAACCAGCAACTGAGTAAGGTCCACAGGCGAGACACATTCAACACTTAACCAGGGCCAGCTCACTGACTGGTTTAATGCCATGACGTTTGTCATCACCATACACTGAGTAGAATACAGTGGATAAGCAAAAAGGTTTCTCCATCATGGAGAGAGATTTGTGTTGCCACAAACTGTTTCTATCCCCACCTGTGTGGGAGGACTTCTGAGAGTCCCCTGTTCCCAGGAGAGCCCTGCAGAGAGAGGAGCTTGTAACAGAGGTGATAGCTGGTTATGCGATTACAGACTTCAAATACAAGTAGGCACATTTACATCACCGTGTCCAGGTGCACATCGCACGGATCCAGTCTGTCTTCCTGGTACCAAACACTGTTGCTAAGTAAAATCAAGGAGTAAAAATGCTACCGAGATGCGTTCCTCGAGCGTGTCTAAAGACCATTTTCCCTGACAAAGCAGCCTGGTCTGCAGTGAGGTCCACTTAGTATAAAAAGACAGCAGCAGCTCTGCTGCAGCCACCCATGCCAAGGCCAAAGACCTGAGTGTGAATGTCGGCAGTTACAGCCTTCTGGACTCCGGAAGATACTGACAGGGTTGGAGGAGACACGTTTGGGATCCGGTGGATTTGCTAATATACTGTGTATGAAATAACACACCTCCTCTTCATTTTCTTCTGAGACTGATTCTAAACTGTAGACTCAAACATGGTGGCCGAGCTTCCTTCTCCGCAGTGAGGGTTTAGACTAGCATTGCCCAGGAGCACGGTACGCCCTGTGAGGTTACCCTAGACCTGCTCCGTCCTGTGCATGTGGGGTGCTGAGCACTTGAGATGTGGCTAATATGACTGAAGAACTGAGTTTTAAATCTAAATGACCACAGGTGGCCACTTTATCAAGAGGCAAATTTAGAAGTAGCTGCCATTTGGTCCTTGTCGTGTTGAAGTGTTTATCCAGCACGTGTATCCTGCCCTGAGAGAACGTGGGATTTATGATACTGAAAGGGAACTGCAGCTACATCTGTTCTTGCGATGTTAAAACAAGTGAGCTACGAGGAAAGCCATCAGACTTTCACATTCAATTGCTTCAAAGTCTCGACCGTTTAAAAAAATAGATAAAACAAGAGTACCGAAAAGTCTGCTTGCCTAGCTCACTCTGAAATGCACTTGTCCATGAGAGCTGACGACTGAGGACAGCGCAGCTCTGCACCCTGCTGTCTGCTTCATTTGCAGGTGATGTCACCGCCATCCACCGAGACGAAGGGCTGGCCTGGAATGCTGCCAGGAATCACAGCTGCCTTCTTCAAATGGGGCTCTGGGTCCAAATCTCAATTTTAGTTAAATCTGAGAAGTACTCATTACCTACTGAATTCTAGAATATAAACTCTACCTACTAAAAGTGAAAAAAAAATTTTTTTTTTGTACTAGGGATTGAACTCAGGACCTTGTGCTTGTGAGGCAGGCACAGTGCCACTGAGCTACATCCCCGGCCCTGAAAGTGAGAACATTTCTGACTTGCTCTTCCCTCAGGACAGATCGAGGGGACTTGTTAACTCAGAACTTCCTGGCATGGACGCAGAGCCCACAGGGACATGGAAGTATAGGTGACAGCTCTGGAGTTCACTGCCCCATTCATGAGGAAGCAGGGCTCCAGTGCACACAGTCACTTGTGGCAAGAGGGGGAACAGGTGCCAATGCAGCAAGGCAGAGCAGGCGGGGTCTCCGCGGGTGACACCTAAGGGGCACTGTCAGGTCTGAGGACTCTGTCAGCAATAGGTCATAACTGGATTTCTCTTCCCATCTTCCCCAGGAAATACAAAACAAACTGGAAAACCCAACAGTAAGAGTAATTCTAGAATTGGCAGTACAGGTAACAACCGAACCGACAAGTTTATTTAGTTAGTGCTGATAATCAGCAGCCTTGGGAAGACACCATTAGCAGCAGTTACCTGAGCTACCTCCAGATGCCCTCTGTTATCTTTACAGTCAGTATGTGGCACCAAGCAGTCACTGTGAAGCCTCCCAGGCCACCACCCTGCACACTGTGAACCTGAACAGGAAGTCACCTCAGCACGGAGGAGGCGGCAGGCCTTAAGTTCCCTCACCATACCCAGGAGTGCCCCTCGCTTTCAGAATGTGAGTAACAAAGCATGGATGGATGTAAATGTGCCTCAGAGTGAGAATTGAAAACATTAATATAAAAAAGTCAAACAGAACTAAGTTCTTGAAACTACATATAAAAATGGAATTATTACAACTAAAGCAGCAAATCAAAATGTCTGCTGAGGTTTTCTGGTAAGAACAACAACAAAAAGTTAGTTGGTGCCCATGTTCAGTAAATCACTATCACTGACAAAACTAAATCCAAAACAGGAAATTGAAAAGTGCATAATGAAATTAAATCTTGGATCAAGTATTTATGGAAAATTGGAAATGTTTGTCCGGCAGAGTTGGTGAGTTATGATTTAGAGAGGTATTAAAGTTTGCCTGACCCAGCCTTGGCCTGGCGTTCCACATAAAAAAGGATGTAGGCCTTTGCCTTCCCCACGGTATCTTCATCAGTCAGCGTCACAGTGCTGTCATTGAAGTGGAACCAGCGGCCTTCGTGAACTGCGTAGGCTGTGTAATGTCCAGAGCCGACCCTGTGAAGAAAAGGCACCGATCAAATGAAACAACTGCAGAAGTCATGGAACGATCTGCACAACCATGTACTTTGTTATCTAAGAGATAGATTTTATTAAGCACTGTAATTAAAGAACAAATTCTAGAACAGTGATTGCAAACCTTTTAGAGCTTTCGGTATGCGACACACACGGCCTGCTGTGGCATGCACATGCTGTAGGCTCGCCGCCACTGTCCTAAAGGCTTTTGGGTTAAGATGGGTGATTAAGTGCTTATGTGACCTCCTCCAACCTCCAACAGAGAGAGAAGAGAGATAATGACAAGGGCAAATGGGAAAGAACCATCAACTGACCAGAAATGGAGAGTTTTCTAGAACACATGAAGCAGATGGCACTGGGTTAATGGAAAAGCTAAATAAGCATAGCCTGTTAACATAGGTCAGGGCCTACGGAAATTCAGTGCCATATTTCCTGTCATCAATCTGCAGGGGAAAAATACCGAGCTGAGTTTAAGAAACTAGTTGGCCTTGACGAAAGCACATCCCAGATGCTTTTGGTCACAAGGCTCACAGAGTACCAAGTCTGTCCTCTTATCAAAAGCAAGGCCTGTGGGTAGAACACAGACCTTCACGGTTGCTAGAAAAATCCTCATTTACCATGAATGATGTGCTTCACCCTTCCACTGGTAGGGGCACCTCAGTTCACAAATGCATTTGGTAAAATTTTGTTTGAAAGGTCTACATCAGGCGACTAACATGGCCACAGCCATCTTTTCCACACAAACACAAAGGTGGCCCATCTTCTCCAAATGTGGAACAAATTAAGTTCATGAACCAAGGTATCGCTGGATCCTGATTTTAAATAAACAACTAAAAAGCAAGTTCTTGAGGGGAATGCAACAGCATATACTAAAAAGTGCTAGGAAGGACAAGTAAAGCAGTTAATCACAGAATTTAATGCAGAGAACTTTAAAAATTCCCTTTAGTAGCAATGGCTTCCAGGAGATATTGGAATCATAAAGTGAGTAGCTGTTAGGACAAAGTTGTAAAACTTATTGCCATAATATAAAAATGTTACAGGAAGCTGGGGTGCGGCTCAGTAGCATAGCGCTTGTCTGACATGTAGGAGATCCTGGATTCAATCCCAAGCACAACAAAAGAGCCCAGGGAGCCATGAGCTAATTAGTTCTCAATTTGGATATAGAGGAATTGATCCAGGAAATTCAATGTATTTACTAAAGTCCAGGAGAGAGAATAAAGAATAAACCTACTTCCATCAAATGAAATCCTCAAACTAAAAGTGCCCCTATCAACTAACAAGCAGGGAAGCTGGGCATGGTGGTGCACGCCTGTAATCCTAGCACTGAGGCGGGAGGATCACTGAGTTAAGGCCAGCCTGAGCTACATAGCAAGACTCTATCTCAACAAACAAAACAAAACAACCGGGCAGGAATACATCAGATACTGCCTATGTCCAAAGGCAGCGGAAAATACAGAATTCCAGAGAAAAACAAGGATGCCTGTGAAGAAACTACATTGGCCTTGTCAAGACCTGTCATTTGTGACCCTAGAAGGAGCACTGTCTCCCAAGTCTGGAAGGAAAAAGATTTCCATCATGGGTGGTGGCTTGTCCAAATTTAAAGCACAGTAACTGTTCTCAGGCCAGAGACCAGAGGGCTTCTACACCTAATACAAACTCGCAGGGGGAAGTATTTAACAAAATAAAAAAGAATCTTTAAAATTGATGACCTGGGGTAGGTTATTTTCAATATTGTCCCACTTTTTGTTCATGTAAATTTCAGTAGGCAAAGAAAGTAACTGTGGAGTAAGAGGGCTCAGGGTATTGTGACAGGCTGGATTCTCGATGCTGGGCTCACCCGGGTGCTTTCTGTTTTGCTTCTATGTGCTTTTTCGTACTGCTTTCAACCCTTTTAGAAATACCAAGACTGCCGGACAGTTCTGCTTCACCCCCTTGAATGAATCCAACCCCATTCTTTGGGAGGAGTTCGGGAGAATTGCACAAAGGTGCCAAGTTTCAGGTCTTGTGCTGCTACTCACCCGGAGCCGTGGTGCACCACCACCGCCGCGAGGTCGTACAGGCAGCTCTCGGGGCCGCTGTTCTCGGGCTATGGAACAAGGGAGAACGCATCCCCAGAACCAGTTAGGAGCAGTGGTCAAGCACGGCAGCACCTCCTGCTGCAGTGGCCTCTGCCCTCTGTGCTAAGATCTAATCGCTCTGCTGAATAGGTAAACACCTCACCTCCAGTAAGTAGCATTTCATGTCCAGGCCTCTCAGTGGAAACTCTACGTAGGTATCAACTTTGTTTCTTAAATACGCTGTCCAATGAAACCTTTTCAAATGTAAGCACAGCACCTGGATGACCGAGAAAAGGACAAAGACTGTGCATTTTAGGGAGCTGATCAGTTTTTCTTCTGACTCTAATGTTACTTTCTTCATCACATGCCTCCTCCATCCCCAGGGGCTGCAGCTCACCTTGAAAATCCGAGAACCCCCAGAACAGATCCCACGGTCCAAAGTCACAAAAATATCTTTTCTCATCAATCTGGAACTTTCCTCTTTAAAACTGCATCATAATTTTAAATTTAACGCTTACCTTGGGAAGTTTTTGAATCCAGAACTTTTTTGTGGACTTTTGTTTCTTTTTGCATTTGTGGCACATATATAATTCTGTCTCATCGAGTTCTTCTAAGTCAGTGAAACTGCGAAGACAATCTGAAACCAAAGTGATTTGGGCTGCATTAGAAGGAGCCTGAGCACTGCAGGAAGACTGGGCTGTGATGCCGAGTGACCCCTGTGTAACTCAGCTGGATCACTCTGTGACCTCAGGAGCTGCTCTTTCTCAGATGCGAACCGGAGACAGAAACAAACCTACTTCAAAGAGCTGTCTCAAGAAAGAGAAGTTCCGTACAAAGCACCTGGCATCGCACCTGACACCTGGAGATGATCAGTCAGCAACAGACAATGATGGATGTTCGTTGGCTTTACCATAGTTTCTGAAAGAATTAGTCTGGGAATTTTATTAAAACCAGCTTCCTGAGGAAATCAAAGTTTCAGTAGTATTTTTCTCTTTCTGCAGCTCTAGGGAGGGAACCCAGGCCCTTGGACGTGCTATGGGGGCTCTACCACCAAGCTACATCCCAGCCCTTACTTTTCTCAGTATGTGACATTATAGAAGACAAAGGCTCCAGGTCATAAAAATGGTCAAATTTAGATCAAATGTTTCCACAGTCATAACGTGTTTAAAAATAAACACAGATTACATAAGGCTAATATACTAACCTCCAAAGAATACTTTGTCCAGACTCTCAATCCCTTAAACCACAGCCACATTTTGTTTTGTTTTTTATTGTCATTTGAAGATTTAATTGTATGACCTGGGGTTTGGTAAACTATACTCCTAAGCTGACTCCAGCCACCTGGTTTTGTAAATAAAGTTGTGCTGGAACACAGCCATGTGCTTAGATGAGAATACGAAGGTGAACAGAATTGGCACTGGGCAGTTTCTCTCATACACGACTGGCCCTGCCCCTGGTCTGAGGGCAGCTTCTCCATCTCTGGGTCTTGTGCTGGGCACCCTCCTCCACTTCCCTCCGTATCCCCACATCCACTCTCCACTGTGTAGCCCTCTGGGCGGGTCTGTGTCAGTCGCTCTACCAAGCAGTGCAATATCTGTAGGACCTCAAGAGATGGGGCACTGGGGAGTCCAAATTTAGGCAACAGGTCACTTCTGAAGAAGATTCTAATCTACAGCACCTTGGGCATTTGTAGGGAAGAAGGGAGCTCCTTTTAAAAAACTCGGCTAAGGTGCAGATTTTGAGCTTCCTACCTGCAGCGACTCCACCCTTCTCTGGCTGTGGAGCCAGGCCAGCAGGTGACAGGATATTTTTTGCTATGTTGCTGTACTGGTCTCTGGACTTTTACCAAGTTGCCTCACCTCAAAACACAGCTATACAAGAGTTGCTTTGGTTTTGTTTGTGGAGGAGCCAGTGAGTGCTAGATACCTCTAGCCATCTTCAGAAAAATTTAAGGTACTGTGGACTGATTTCAGGGCCTCTGCACTGAGCCCTATTTTATTCTGAGACAGGGTCTCAAGTCACCTAGGCTAGGCTCAAAAACTTGTGATCCTCCTGCCTGAGCGTCCCCAGTTCTAGGACGACAGGTATGTGCCACCACATCCAGCTAATTAGTTCTTAAGTGTTTTACAGCATTCAGGAAACCCAGAAGGTCTTGCACTTCTTGTTAGAGGGGAAGACTTAATAGTCTATTCTTTGGTAGTTTGTATGCATTCTGAAACTTACTGATTCCCTCCAGATTTTCCAGTTTTTAGCATGTAATGGTTTGTAACAGTTTGATGAGCCTTTCTGTTGTATCAGATGCACTGAATCATCTCTTATTCTAATTACTTCCATCTAAAGGTTTGCGATTTTGCTTGTGTTCTCAAAAAAAAAAAAATCAACCATTTCACTGATCTTTTGCACTTATTTTACTTTCAATTTCATTTATGTTCTGATCTTTTTCTTTCCTTCTAATTTTGGGTATGGTCTGTCCTTGGTTTTTTAAATGCTTGAGGTACATTGTTTGATTGTACATTTGAGGTCTTTTTTATGTATTTATTGCTATAAACTTTCCTGTTAGTACTGCTTCTATTTCCCACAGATTTTGACTTACTGTGCTGTTGTTTTTCACTGATTTTCCTTTTAATTTTTTCAGTTACCCATTGGTCATTTAGCATGTTGTCCAATTTCTGTATACTATATTTGTATACTTTCCATTCCTATATTCATCTTGAATTAGTTTTATTCCACAGTTTGAAAAGATAAATTATATTTTACTTTTTTAATTGGAGGCTTGACTTGTGGCCTAACACATGACCCATCCTGGAGAATGTACATGTGCTGATGAAAAGAGTGTGTACTGTGCTGTGGCTGGATAAAATGTTCTGGATAAATGTCTGGTCCATTTGCTCTATACTATGGCTCAACTTGGCAGTTTCTTTGTCAATTTTCTGTCCAGATCTTTCCACTGAGAAAAGTGGGGGTGCTGAAATCCGCAACTCACTATGCTGGTGTTTACCTCCGTCTCCAGACCTAATAATACTTGGGCTTCATACATCTGGGTGACTCCATGTTAGGTGCAAACATATCTCAGTGCTAAATTGATCCCTGTATCGATCTATAATGGCTCTTTTTATAGTTTTTGATGTAAAGTCTACTTATCTGCTATGACTCTGGCTAGTCCTTCTTCCTTGTGGTATGTCTCTTCCCAACCTTTTGCTTTCAGTCTTCATTTTTACCAGCAAAATGAGTTTCTTGTGGGCAGTATGTTAGTTTTCTTTTTCAATCCTTCTGCAAGTTTTTAATCTCTTAATTAGTGAATTTAATGTTTATATTTAAGGTTATTACTAATAGGTATGTCTCTCCTGTCATTTTTGTTAATTATTTTGTTTGTTTTATATATTTTGTGTTCCTTTCTACCTTTTATTATTTATTTTTGTAATCTGGTAGTTTGTCACACTAAGATGTTCTTCTTTTTCATGTATCTATACGTCATCTTTTTTTCTTTTTTGGCAGTATTGGGGATCAAACTCGGTACCTTGTGCTTGTGAGGCAGGCATGATGCCAGAGCTAAATCCCCGGCCATTTATCGATGCTTTTTTTCTTTGTACTGGGGATTGAACTTGGGTCCTTGAGCTTGCGAGACAGGTGGTGGAACCACTGAGCCAAATCTCTAGCCTTATGCACCTATACTTCTAATGAGTTTTATACACTTGTGTGGTTTTTTGAGACAGGGTCTCACTATGTAGTTGAGACTGACCTGGAACTCACTATGTAGCTCAGGCTGGTCTCGAATTCACAGTGATCTTCCTGCCTCAGCCTCTTGAGTGCTGGGATTACAGGCGTGCGCCACACACCCGGCCACTTACATGTTTTCATGGTGGTGATTATCATCTTTTTTGCTTGTGGTATAGGATTTCCTTAGCATACTTACAGAGCTGGTCTGGTAGTGATGAATTCTCTCAGGTTTTTTTTGCTTATCTAGGAAAGGCTCCCTTATGAAGAATAGCTTACCTGAGCAAAGCACAGTATTCTTGGCTGGTGGTCTCCAGCAACCCACCCCAAGGCTTTGAATATATCATCCATTCTCTTCTGGTGTGTAAAGATTCTGCCGAGAAAGCAGCTGAAATCTAAAGGCATTCCCTTAGTGACCTGACACTTTTCTCTTGCTGTGTCTTCCTGTGTTTATATTTGTTTTGTACTTCTGACATTTTGACTATAATAACACACCTTGGTGAAGATCTTTTTTAGTTGAATCTAGTTAGGGTCCTTATATCTATATGTCTATATCTCTTTGAGGATTTAGGAATTTTTCAGCTATTATTTCATAGAATAGGTTTTCTATGGCTTTCTCTCTCACTTTCTGGAATTCCCATAATGTAAATATTCATGTGCTTACTAGTGTCCCGTAAGTCTCACTGGCTCTCCCCATTTCTTTTACCTGACTGACTGAAGGCAAAAGACCTATCCTAAAATTCAGAAATGCTTGTTTTTCTGTTGTGGAAGCTCTCCGCTGTATTTTTTTGTTGTTGTTGTTGTTTTGTTTTGTTCTTTTCCCCCCAGGTCTAAGGTTCCTGGTTGGTTCTCCCTTTGGTGAAGTTCTTATTGCTTTGTATTGTCTGAGTTTCCTTAGGGATTATTATTTTGAATTTTTTTCAAGCATTTCATGATTTCCTTCAAATCAGGATGTATTTCTGGAGACTCGGTATTTTCTTTTGGAGGGATGTTTCCCATTCTGGCCCTATACTGATGTCTGCATATCTGGCCTAACAGTTGCCTTTTCCAATTTTATGGAGTAGCTGTTGTAGGACAAGATTTTTAATTTTTATACAGTGTGAGTTGGGTAGATTCTTTGGTAATAGGAGGGCTCAAAAGTGTATCTTCTGTGTGACTTCTTGACTCTGAGTCAGCAGTGTCCATGAGTACCTCAACAGTCCAGACTGCAGCAGTTGATGAAAGAAGCTGTATGACTTCACAGTGGACTTAGGATTCCAGTGACGCATGTGCTCAAGTCCCCCAGGGTCAAGCCCCAGTGGTGCTGAGGCTTGTAACAACAAATGCCACATCCTGATGGTGTTGATGTGAGAGGACTGCCCCCAAATTAGTCAGGGAAATCACAGACGCCAGCTTCCACAGTCCCCAAGCCTTGGCATGTGAAGGAGACCTTCCCTGGGACTCTGAGGATGAATGTGGAAGATGCCTGAGCTTTTGGTACTAGCAGCAAATAGTTTTGGAGCCACAGGATGGTATGTGGCCATCCCTAGGTTTCAAGGAAAGCGCACAGCTGGTGCTGGCGTCTGTCACATTAGTAACCATTGACACAGGACCGTGGTCCTATGGGGTGATTGATGCTATGGCTTTTTGTGCTGTTGGCTGCTTTCATGGAGGTGTAGGACCCAGACGGTACCTTCCCCAGGGCCCAAGAGGCAAGTGATACTGAAGCTTTTGGCATCAATTTGCTGCAGTCTCAAGTCCATGGGCTGTGCAGAAGACCCCTAGGTCCCCTGGCACATATGCAAGTAACACTTGGCCAAACTCTTGGAGATGTACGACCCCTGCCCTTGGTCTGTGGGTGAAGCACTTATGACCTTGGTGGCTGCCGCCCTGGAACTGCAGGATGTGGATGGGAATGTACCTGGGTCACATGAGGCAAGCACAGGAGGATCCAAGGCACTGGCAGCCATGTCTTAGAGCTGCAGGACACAAGTGGTGACAAGTTTAGGTGATGCTGGGCTTCTTGCACTAGCAGTCCCAGGGATGGGGGAGGGGACCAGCCCTCGTTCTGCACAGGGGACACAAGTGCAGCTGAGCAGGTGCTCCTTGGCCAGTCAGCTTCCCTTTCCCCCAGGCTCAATGAGGTTCCTCTCCACCTTCCACCTGGGAGACAGGCTGAACATGCTTTGTCCTTTTATGAGGTGGCCTTTCTGACTCTACATGCTGGTTAGGTTTGCCTCATTTGTGTTCTCTCAGAATTACTCACAATACAGCTTTTTCTTTGTTGTCCTGCTTCTCTGTAGTGGAGCTGCACGCTGGTCACCTCTTTTCAGTCATCCTAAATCCTCTTTCTGTAGATTTTAAATTAGGTCTTTTTCCTTGATTAAAGTAGCTAATACTTATCAAGGAAAACAATACAAATCCCCCAAAGTACCTGTGAATTTTAATGGCCTTACAATTAAAAGCAGGTCTAGGGCTTAATCATCAATTGATTTCTCAAATGATTCTATGAAAGAACAAATATGGCCTCATAATTTATAAAATTATGCATAGAATAAATACTGTTTCATTTGTTCAGGAAAATTTTTGTTACAGACTTTCAAGTTTGAAGCCAGTGTTAAAGAAAAGGGTGAGAAATACCTTGTGCTTCACTCCTTACCTTGTGGCAGACATTCTTATTAAATGGAATATTTGGGGTAGGGAAAAGACATCCCAGTCTGACTTGTTAAATTGCAACACATTAATTAAAGATATGAACCACAAAGCTCATATCAATGGAACTTATCATTCTAAAGAATTACAATATCTTTACCTCGTAATGAACAAACTGGTCCATTTTCTTGATTCTTAGAGCGCTTACTTCTGAATTGACTTGGAATATCTAATGAAAGATCTGAAGAGGAGATAAGAAAACAGCTGTTAAATTATTAAAAAACTGTGTGATTTTTCTCTTTACTGGTTTACTGGTTTAATTTTCAAGGGAAATATTAAAGTTATTGCTTTTATAAGAGTAAAAACGCACATGCCAAATGTATCTTACCTAGGAATGGATCAAACTTCCTGGACTCTGTCCCACATATGAGGCAGTTGACCTCATTCTGGAGAATGCCTCCGAATATAGCTGTGACAACAGTTGATGCCCCATTTCTAAAGAAACCACCACATAGGACACATCTCAATAAAAATCACTTTTTTGACATTTGAGCCTAAAATATCTGTAAAAACCCATATCAGTGCTCCTACTGAGTGGATAGGTGTATCATTTATACGTTTAAGTTATAAAATAAAAATGTCAGAGCTATACAGACAAATGCTAAATAAAAGGTTTAAACCACTGGCCTCCCTGCACCCCCCAGCCTGTATTCTAGTCCCACTAGTTTATGCCGAAGTAACTTACACCAGCCATTTGTACTATGACAAACAATCACAGATAGGAGGGCAAGATACCTCTCAAAATATACCCTTCCCCAAAATACCTCTCAAAAAAAGAAAGAATTTCTGTTTTATATCTGAATCATTCTAAGGCCAGTCATGGTACAGGAAACTCTGGCAACAACTTAACTTTGAATCTGAGGCGATAACGATATTGAATACCGATTTAGTTATTACTGCTGGAGAAGTGCTGGACATTATTGTTGAAAAGCCATTTTGAAAAGCTCAACTAAAAGATTATAAATAATTTTCTTGTGGAGATAAGAAAATATACTTCATTAAGAACAGTGATGAAACCAACAGCCTGGTGTTACATTACCTCAGGTGCCTCTGTTCCTGCAAAGTAAACAAGAAAAACAGGAAGAGCACCAGAGGCCTGTGTGAAGATGAAGCGTGTTACAGATGTAACGTGCTTTCCGAAGCGTGCTTACCCCAAAACAAAAACACTTGAAGTATATGCCACTACTTTATTAGCATGAAGTCAGATTATACCTGCTGTATGCTTTTATGTTTTCCCCCTAAGTATGGGTCTCACTCCTGTACCTCCTCTGACAGCTGCACACGTCGCAGTATCGATACACCATGGACTCAGGAACAGCACTGGGCTCCAACAAGAGTAGAGGGCACTCGAACAGCACTTACCAATACAGTCTCCATTCCGAGTGCTCCCCATTTATTAAATCTACTCACTCTTACAACAACTCTACAAGGTTATCCCCATTTATAGATCAGGAGGCTGGGGCCCAAAGGTTAATTAAATAACATGCATGGCTCGCGGTCACAAGCATCTGCTTTTTTGAGGGGTACCAGGGGTCAAACTCGGGACCTTGCACTTGTGAGGCAGGTGGCCAAACCACTGAGCTAAATCCCCGGCCTTCAAAAGCATCTGCTTTTAACACTTCTTGTCTCAATTTAACCAAGATAATATCATTGGATATTGAGGTAGCTTCAACTATTCACTATGCTTAACAGTACGTAACAAGTGCTTGTACAATATTAGCCCTGTGTACTTAGATGGTTATGTCAGACAGAAAATGCCTACTGCTTAGTAGGAGTTTGAGGTGGTTTCTTTTCCCTTGCAATCAGTTACTCATGCATTGAACTATACTTTGAAAGACTGCAGATTAAACCTACTGCAATGATGAAGTAGAGAAAACCTAAGAATTCTATTTTAAAAATATGATTCCTTCTCTACCAAAAAGATGTTTTTATTATTATCTTTAGAAGTGTTGTTTGTAAGATATAGATATGGGGTTTAGTAAATTAAAAGAACAGATGCTACCCTTGAAAATGTAGGACAAAGTGACCATTTCAGGTTTTAGGTTTATAACTGTGTCATAAAGAATGTCCCAAGCTGGGCGTGGTGGCGCAGGCCTGTAATCCCAGCACTCGGGAGGCTGAGGCAGGAGGATCACTGTGAGTTTGAGACTAGCCCGGGCTACATAGTGAGTTCCAGGTCAGTCTCAACTACATAGTGAGACCCTGTCTCAAAAAACCAAAACAAAACAAAACAAAAGAATATCCCAGAAAATACTGAAAACGGGGCTACAACTAACCCTTCCAAGATGCATTTAATGGAAATGGAAACTGCTTTACTAAAAAGCAGTACATTTAAACTCTATGTAGGTCTTTCTTTATAATTACTTTCTCTGAAAAATCAAATTTTGGCTATCTGACATGTATGGCATTAAATTTAGGTATACTGTATTCTTAACATTCATATATATTTCAAGGCTGCTGTTCCATTATAACTGCACATCAAAAGTGCTTTGATTTTGACTTCTTTGGTTTGTATACTGCAAAGATCTTTGACATTGATGCTAACAATTTTCTATAGATTAAAAAAAAACCACTCCCTGTGTATTTTTTCATGCCCACCACCTTTAGGAGGGGTGGCAGTGTTTAAGACAAGACGCATATTTCATAGATACTTTCCTACTTTTAGAAAACATCCTTAGACACTGAAATGCCTCCTCCAGTGCACTGAAGAAAAATAAAAGTAATCTTGAAAGTTTAATGATAAATTTTTCTGTCTATTCCTAACTGAACAACAGAGCTTGTAATTACCGTTATTTAAAATGTCATGAAAGGATTTATAGACTAACAGTGAAAATCCTCTTAAGTATTAGACAATGAGATTAGACAGAGGGCGCCATGGGCATCATACCGTAATAACAGCGTATCCTCTCACATCTCAGACTATCCTTGATGGGGCCCACTTCAATACCCTTTATGTGGGAATGTGCCATGATAAAATACAAGTGGAATTTTTCACTTCATACTATTTTTAGTTTGGTGCGGATGGGTAAAACAATTTTACCAGGTTGAAAATTGTTCCTGTTCTCTACTGGAATCACAGGTACTGGGGCCTAGAGGGACAAGCACTCTGAGGAGAACAGCTGTCCACAGGGCTGCCCTTCCCTGATGCTGCCATGATAGATATGGGGCTGCTTTATCACTCAAAGATCTACTCTTTCTAGGACAGATTTACTGACTGCCAGGTGATACCACAGTGACCTACCGTACGTATCACTCTTCTCTTTGTTTGTTTTCTTATTAATCCCCTTGTATAGATTGACACTGACAACATTTTTCAAAAGTTTGAGCAAAAGGAAACTAAGCTGGCTAAGTTGGCCAATATCCAGCCTAAAATATCAGTAAATCAAGCAAAATAAATGCGGGCCACGGATTTAGCTCGGTGGTGCGACCACCTGCCTCACAAGTGCAAGGTCCTGAGGTTGATCGCTGGTTCCAAAAACAACAAAATAAATGCTCTAATCTCAAATTATTTTTTAACTATTAGTATATAGGGAAACCATGTAAAAGGTTTGTTTTGTTCATACTAAGAGGCAAGAAAAAATTCTGAAAATTTACAAATTCTTCAATTTTATTAAAGAGAAACTTGAGGAAAATCTTTTTTTTTAAGCTTTTGGTTCTAGTGAACACACGTAATTACTTTTGTATATAAAAATTAAGTTATGCTTGGGATCTAGCTTACGGCCTTGGGTTCAATCCTTAGCACTGCATTTCAAATAAATTAAGTCTCCTTTATATTACTCGATATACTTGCAGAATAATCTTTTAATGCTAAATTGTTCAAATATTTTCCACTTGTACAGATTTTTAAAAAATCTATACCAAGGGCTGGGTATTTAGCTCAGTGGTGCCACTGCCCACCTAGCAAGTGCAAGGTCCTAAGTTCGATCCCCAAAAAAATAAATAAAAAATAAATAAATAAATAAATAAATCTATACCAAAAACTAACAATCAGCATGCAAACACAAGATGCTTCTAGTATGGAAGCAATAAGCACATGCTCATTTACTTGGTTACAAAGCTCAAGTGCACAGGAATGTCAGCAAATGTCCAGAGAACTCCTCCACTTTCCATGATAAATGTAACACCAAAAGATGTGCCAAGGTCCTCTTAAAAAAGAAAAACTAAATCTTACATGCAGCATTTGTTACTTGCAGACAGAGAAGAATTCTCCTGCAGAACCGCTGATCGGGAAACACCATTGAAACCGCCCTGAAGTTCCAAGTGCAGGTGGTCCAGAAGGTAGCGCATGAACTCGTGGGCGTCCTGCTGCTGATAGCCCCTGAAAGCGAACAGAGTCGGTCATGGGGAGGTTCTGCCTGCACTGCCTCAGCCTTCGCCCCACACAGTTACTCTTCAGGAAAGAATTCTACTTGAAAGTAAGTCTGAACCCCATGGAATAGAGCTAAGTGAATTTGTAACGACAGTCTCCACTGACCTCACCAGACTTTAGAGATCAGGAAAGGGGGCGCACGATAAACCTATTGAGTGCGACCGTGAGAGAGGACTAGGGCTGGACCCTGCGTCTCCTGCACAGACCTGGAATCTCCCCACCATCCCAGTGGCCCTCTTTAGAAGTGGTTCAAATGGCAACATTTCACATCTTACTCTCAGCAGAACACTAGGTGTAAACTCCAAAACTATTAAATAAGAAATGTAAAACTCCATAGACTGAAAGATACTTTTTGTTAAATGCCAACAGAAAGGAAGTAAAGCTGTAAAGGGTTAAAGATGTTGAATATTCTATATTTGCATCTCTGATCCAAAACAGCTTTTAAATGAATACTTTTAAATCTCTATTGACTTGCTGGGTACAGGCCTGTAATCCCAGAATTTGGGAGGCTGAGGCAGGAGGATCGCTGTTGAGTTCAAGATAAATCTGGGTTGCAAGTGAGTTTAAGGCAAGTCTAGACTACATAGGGAGACCCTGTCTCAAAAAACAAGAAAACCACATTGACTAATATTTTCCCTACATCTTCCAATTTGTGTGTGTGTAGCAATGTATTATAGTCTTACTCGAAGACAGAACACAGGAAACAAAACTGACACAGCTGGCTGGAAGGTCTGGAAGATTCAGATAAAATAAATCAAGATGATAATAAATATATATAATACATCTATAAAATTATAATAGGAAAAGACTTCTGGCTACTTTTTTGTCATTGTGGAAGTTTCTAAATCTAAGTTTATCTGGTATAAGAGTGAGAACTACCATCACTCTTCCATTCCAGGCAATGGATCCTTGAAAAAAGTTCCATCAGTTCCTTTTAATATGTGTATTTCCCTTTCCTGAAATTTATGAAAACAATCTCTCAAATGGAACTTATAGTCAGAAGTCAAAGTACTGTATTTAAACAAGCTAGTATAAAAGTATGTTTGCTTATTTCTTGTAAAGTTTCTTTGAATAAAAATGTCAATATTCACAGTCAAAAGCATTTAAAATTGGTAGCTCAGAGTCAGGTATATATACTGGAGAAGGTGCTTAAATATTTTCAACACTGTGAGAGAATTTCAGGTACTACTGATCATGAAAACAAGCAGGTACTGTTTATTATTCTCTCCTCAAAATAGCCTAGTATCTAAGTTGTCATCTTCCTAAAATGTACCATGAAAGCCAAGGCTTTGTAGTTATACAGTTTGCATTTTAAGTGGGTGAACACATACCCATGTCCTTATAAAAAACAATAATTTTTCAACCACACCATGATTCTCTTTTCTTGCCTCAAATTTCTAAAACCACTAGAGACACATTTTCTTTTACCTACATGAGATTATAGAACAGCAGCTATTCTGTAACAATGTACATTATGAGTTTCTGTTTTAAATTGTGAAATTTAGCATCTCTTCTAATGAGACTCGGAATTTTTCTGATTCTGACTAAAGACAATTTACACACCCCTCTTTAAAATAACAGTCCTAATTGGCTTTATTTTAGAATTGGGCAAACCTCATAAAATGTACTCCCTATAATTCAATTTTTAAAAGTTAAGTATTTCATTGACTTATTTCAAATAAACGGTATTTAACATGTTAAACCGAACAGACTTCAGTTGTCTTCTTTCCCAATTATACAATCCAGGCTTCAAAATTTCCTGTGTAGTCTATCTTTCTGATTTTATAATCATGTTAAAGGAAACCCACTGTTTACATTTGTATACATATTTCAGCAATGTCACACCAAGAGTCACTTGTTAACTAATGAGAAATGGATTTATGAAGAACTCATATCTGTGATACACCACAACTGAGAGAAAAGAATAGAGAGAGAAAAATAAGAAGGGCTGCACTTGTAAAACAGTCCCTTATCTTCTCTTGGTTTGACCTCAGATAAGATTAAGCTTTCTCCTTAGTATCTACAGAAAGAAACAGAAGAACTGTCCTGAAGACGTTGTGAGAAGTCGTCATTGGAGAGCACACTGCACATGCAGAAGCCAGGCTGAAAGGTCCTGAAGCCCCCTTTCTGGATGGAGGACCAAGGAAGGAGGAACACAGCTGAAGCACAGTGCACTGTACAGAAAACAGGAGCAACTGTCTCTTCACAAAAATTAGAGCACACTGAAGACAAATGTACCCAAATCCTAAAGACAAAGAAATGTTCAAATGAAGAATAATCAAAGAAAAGTTTATTTTGCGTGCACCTGCTCAGATGTGAAAAGCAATCATTCCAAATAATGAAACAGACATCACAAGCACAAATGTTTGCGTAATTCAACACAGAGCTAATATTTAAAGATAAAATATCAACATATCCTTAGAGCTCTTCTCTATTTACAAATACCCAAAAGAGTATTAAATGTAAAGATCTATTCTTTTGTCTACAAAGATCTATCATATTGTCTGCACTGAAGAACGGCTAAAGAATAGTGTTTCAGAATAATTTATTCTCCCATTACTTTTAAACATAATTCTTTTTAAAAACCCTAAAATTGTTTTGAGAGGCCAAAGCAAATAAATCAGGTTGTCTATGCAATGAGAAATAGCACGTAGAGGATAAGAAAGCAAACAAATACTGCCGTGGCCTGATTTGAATTATCAGGGACTTTCCTGGAGCACTAGCATTAAGCTGGATCGTGAAGAAAGACAGAGATCTCAAGCAGAAGCAGATGACATACGAAGATAACCAACTGAAGACAAAATCATGTTAAAGGAAAGCAGGGAGTAACAGGCTAGCCCAAGACTATTCAAAATACAGAAGCACATACTCTGACTTAGCAATTCCTCTAATACTAGAGATGATTCACTGCAGCCGTTTGGAACAGAAAATATTAAAAATAACCTATACAGCCCCTGGCAGGGAATTGTGCAGGTTAATCTTAACAGTCAGGGTGACTGGAATAAGAGGCTCCTGGGGAGGTGGCTGGATCACAGGTTCTCTATAACCATCAGGGATGTAGCTCAGTGGCGCTGCACCTGCCTAGCAAGCTCAAGGTCCTGAGTTCGATCTCTGGTACAAAAAAACAAATACTCATCAGTGGGCTGATGCACTTATGTCCACAGTGGACTGTGCTGTAGAAAGGTGGGACCCATTGGGAGGAGGCGGTCACATGGAAATGCCTTAGGAGGAACATCTCTCACTGGCACTCCTGCCTGCTATCTGCTCCCTGGCCGCCATGAAGCGAGCCGCTCTGCTCCACCATACCTTTTACCATGATGTATCTTCCTTGGAACCAACAGACTATGGTCTGAAACCTCTAAAACCATGAGTCAAATGAACCATTTTTCCTTTTAAGTTGGCCACAGTGAAAAAAGCTGATCAACCTGGGACTGTTACATAACTAATTATACAAGTATAAAATGGACCAAGGAAGCTGTACACTACTATGAATCACGGTCACGTGTTATCACGAAAGATGCACAAAAACCTGGTAACCATGGTTGCCTCTAGAAAATTAAATGGCTAGGGAACAGGAAGAGAAATAGTCAATGCATGTTTTTTAACCTTTTGAACTATGTATTTTGCCTGTTAAAAATAAACATTAAGAGATTTTTATATATATAAATGACGGAAAGCTGGCTAGGAGGGAGAAGTGTGGTAAGCAGGTATCTACGCTGGAGAAGGTCAGAGCTTTAGGGAAACTGTCTCTGCTAGGTAAATGAATTTTGGTTTGGGGAAAAAAGAATAGGCTTGACTTCTGTATCCAAAGCTCTGATTACATTTAGAATATTTTTATCCTGTATCCATTTAATAAAGTTATCCTCGCTAACAGATGTTTGTATTTCAGAGTCCTCACATTCATTCAAGGAGATCAGGTTCCTTAAAGATGGCTATGTATTAATCAAGGAAAATGGGCTTCTTAAAAAATTTTGGCTTGGGGATTATAAGTTAATACAGAAACAATAATTCAAGACTCACTGTGCTTCCCCGCAGGCATGCTGTGAGACTTACCTGCACTCCTAAGGGAGGAAGAGCTGGAAGAGGAAAGCCCCGCCTCTGTACCTCCCTGTCTCACATTTTGGCATTGTGGTGACTGCAGGAAAGCTTTATCCATAATACATCAAAAGCTACATTAAGGAAGAGAAAACTATACCCTTATTACATGAAAACGGGGGACAATCTCAATTACCGCAGAACTAGGAGAAAGCCCTGCTAAGAATATATAAAAGCACATTATTCTCACATCGGTGATTAAAGAAATTTAAAAATTCACACATATCAGAAACCACCCCTCAAAACGTCATACTAAATTCAGCGTGGTTGTCATTCCTAAATGTTTTCTTCCCTTTATCAGTAGGAATATTAGAATGTGTAAATTAAGCAGATAAAAAAACTAAACCATGCTCACAAGTGGTTTATAGAAACTAAAAAGGGCAGATTAACATGTGGGAAGATTAGGAGGAAAAGTAGTTACACTGCATAAAAATAATGTTTGTACGTTTTCAAGAATGAAAGCCTATGGTCACCCTAAGGGCCAAGAATGGGTATAAAATTAGTGGGTCTTACTCAAGGCATGTGAACAAATTACTGCTGGCAATAACCAATATTAACCAACCCCAGAAGCACCTGGGTTCTAATTTTGGTGTGTACACACACACACACACACACACACACACACGTGATTGAATGAACATAAGGGACTTCTCACTTACTCAGGTTTGACTTTCCTAAAATGGGGGTAATACTTCATACCTGGTGTGGAATTTTGCTGTTGCTCGTTTTTTAATGAGGGTCAGATATAAAATATGCTTACCACATTGTAGGAACTCAATAAATGGAAACTGTTATTACATAAGAATAAACCGTGAAGTCCCAAAATAGCAGAGCATTGAGTGCCAGCAACTCAG